TTACAGTACTGTCAGTGTGACCCCAGAGCCACCGCTGAGGAGCAAGGATCCCCCCGATGTTCTAACCATGCTGGCTGCAAAAATTAAAACATCTGCTGCGTTTCTACTAACTTCAAAGTGAAATAGAAGTGAACTGGAGATTTTCTGGAAATTTCAAAAGACGCTTGTTCAGCATGACTGGAACATACTGAAGATGCTGCTAGACGCTGCCTAAAACAGGGAGTTAAGGCCACACCTTTACAATGGAGATCTAAAAAGTGCTGAGAAGCTTGATACAATCAAGAGCTACAAACTGTGTTTGAAAGCAATATCTCAGTGCTTAAAGAATAGAAAGGGACGCAAGTAAAACTGGCTGAAGCCAAAAGAAGGACTTAGGAGCTATGATAAAGACACGAATAACACACGGGATCAAAAGAAGTGCCGCACAAAAACCTGAGGACGGAAGGACAAGAACCACGGGCAGCGCCCAGCTCCTCCGCTCCACCCCAGCCCCAGCGCCCTCTGCTTTCCTATGAGCATCTGAACCACGCCCTTGGCTTCTCCTCCTGCCAGGACAAGACCACCAGCAGCCCTGGAATCACGCACTGAAGGCCAGCGCCAAGGCTCCGAGGCTCCTGGGAAGATCTGTGGGAGACTGCGGCTGGCCCGGCTTAACTGACCTACCTACAAGTGCCCAGGCCCCGTATTGGGTGGGCAGAAAGAGAAGCCCCTGCAGTAGGAGCAGCCTGGCTCAAAGGGAGGCCCGGACCTATCACTAGTGCAAGAAAGAGAGCAGGCCTCGCAGTGGGCAGAAAACGTCAACAAATCCCTCCCGCCATGTGGGCCGTGGTTTTAATGTCCTTGTAGTCACAGGACAGCCAGCTCCTGCCTTGTACCTGTTGTCACCAATGTTCCTGATCCCAAAGTACTCTGAACTGCTCCCACCTTGAACGGCCAGCTGCTCACAGGGAGGGTGCTGAGGACACGCAGCCGGGGAAATTCTGGTTAGCACCCACGAATTAAAAGAAGACTTTTTATTGAAAATACAAAAAGTAAAGATAGAGGGAAAAGATGCCTAAGGAGCACAGGTGCTCAGACTGCTAAAATCAATGTTTCCCAGTTCATCAACAAGCTCTTACCTGATGTCCAGAGTAGCAACACGGAGTTGAACAAATATAATGACTCCCAAGGGGAAAAATGCTTTGGCTGTAACAAGCAGAGCCCCTCAGCTCCAGGGATGGAAGCAGGATTTCCACCGAGATACACAGTCAGATGCAGGCAGGGGAAAGAAAGTGGCCCGCACACATGTCCACGTGGGAAGCTCACACACTACTCAATAAGCACCTAGGAATTGGCCCTTATTTTAACATAAGTGGCACTGAATGCTCAGGAAGTGTTGTTAGGCAGGCAGATCTTTCATCTAGTCACGAGAGTTTACCTACTTGTAGTGTAAGGCCACTTTCAGCCAGTCTCTCAAAATATCCCAGACACTTTTCTCTGTCTGCAGTTTCCTCATACAAGTTACTCTAACTCTTCGCCTCCCTCTGACCTAAGGTCACTCAGTGTGAGGCTTGTCCTCATCATTCCCAAGACTAAACTTCACGTGGCTTTCAGACAAAACAAACTCCCTGCTCATGCACCCGCTTTCCTGCCTTTTCCTGTCATATTTGTAGTCACAACTCTCAGGGTCAAGCATTCCCTGCTGACCGCTCCAGTCACCACAGGCAACCAAGAGCCCACCTGCTTTGGCAGACTGAGACAGTTTTCTGCCCTAAAACTGCTAGGGAAGAGCAAGAGCTGCTGCACAAACCTGGGCCTGAGGACAGCGGAGCCGCAGCTGCCCCAGGGGGAGAGGACCCATAGGCGGTGATCAGCTGTGTGCAGGAGAGGACTCTGTGGATGGGCGGCAGGCCCAGAACAACTGGGGGGGGGGGGCTGGATGCAGGACCTGAGCCGGGTGCGGAGAGGAGGGTTAGCATCCATAGCACCTGGAGGGACCCATTGTGCCTCTGATGCAGCTATTGGTTTGGGCTTCCTAGGTCTTTATTTTAATTTAACTTTTCTAATACCTCCTGTTCATTCTGTTTACAAAAGGATCAACCTGTGACAAACTAAATACAAGCAAGGCCTTCGCCACCAACTAAACACAAGCAGGAAGCTCTGGGAAGGTTCCTTCTCTTCCTAATCTTTCTTCCTCTTCCTATTCTTATTTTTCTTGTATGTTTATGGTGCGCACACATAGTGATGTCCATAATACCCTGACCCTTCTGCTTTGCTTCATCCCTCGCTCCCCGCCAGTGAGCGTCCCAGGGAGTGCTGGGCACAGGGTGGGGGGTTGGGGGGCTGCGGCCCCCTCCTAGGACCGCCTTCCCTTCCTTGTCCTTTTTAATTGACACACAACTACAATACATACTACGGGTGCCTTGTGACATTCCGCTACAAGCTATTAGTAGCAACCAGCAGTGGGATCAGTTCACCAATCCATGAATGTGAAAAGTTCAAACATTTATTTAGGACAAAAGGAGAACAAGAAGTACAAAGCAAGGCTCCAGGAGAAAAAGCGCTCTGAGAAGCAGTGCCCTGCAGGACAGGTGAGCGTGGGCCCGTTAGGGCAGGGGGAGAAACTGCCCCTTCAGGGAGGCTGGTGAAAGCCTAAACAGCCAGGAGCCCCTCAGACAACAGATCTAGGCCGTCCCGTCAAAAACCCATTTGATCTCATGCCAGAAGATTCTATCAGGTGCAGGGTCCAGCTCAGCTAGTGAAGAACTGAAGACGGCATTCTCCGTGACTAACGGGTCTCTGCAGCTGGCAGGTTAATCCAGTGACCCAGCTGCTTTCCCCTGCCTTCATTTTAGTGCATTCAACCTCCATAATGACCAGGTCACCCTCAAACATGTGCCATTCGTGTTGGGAATATTCAGTGCCCTCTCTTGCCATGTCGGAACATTCAGTTAGCTGTTGTCAACCTCGATCACTCCATCTTGTTCTAAAGCTGGAAGTTCTTCCTGCCTTTGCCTTGCTGAGCCCTTGGCCAATCAATGATCCCCTCTCCTTCCACTGCCCACACCCTTCCACGGCCTGCTGACCACCTTGCGCTCCTCACGCCCATGAGACCCAGATAGGTGAGAACACGTGGCGTTTGCCTCTCTACGCCTGGTGTATTTAGCATCAGTGCCCCCTCTGCTGTTAGAGACAATGGATTCCAGCTTTTCCGAGGTGCAATCCTGTCCACTGCAGGTACCTGCCATGCTTTCTTCAGCCCCTCATACACCAAGGGCAGCTCAGCTGGTTCCAAGTCTTAGCTGTCGTGGATCACACTGTGACATACACGCAAGTGCAGGTGTCTGTTCCAAACACCGACTCCATTCGCTTTGGGGCTGTGCAGCCACAGAGGAGAAGGCCTTCCTCAGCCACTCAGGCAGCCCCGGGAAGACAGCCAGGAGGCTGATAGCCACCCCTCCACTCCTCTGCAAACTTACTGAAGCTCCCTGTGCATGAGCCCTTGAGCTCCTCAGGTGGTTTGTGAGGCCTGGCTATTGTGGTAATGAGGGTCTGATATAGTAGTTAATAAGTGCCAGCTATTCATACGCGTCTTTTATGCTTCACAATGAAAACAGAAGTATATGCTCCAATGCGCAACACGCTGAGGTCAGTTTTGGTTTGTGATGGTAAGAACGGCACCCACAGCCTCCTCATGCTAGGCAAGCAGCTCTACCACTGAGCAATACCCTAAACTCTGAAATCGTTTTTGGTTTTCCCTGGCAGCATCTTTGAAGTCTAAAGATTATAGAAGTCTTAGCTGGTGTACCAAATGCATCAGCGTGAGACATGTTGACTGACAGATTTGTGTCAACAAAGCCACCACGGATAATATAAGTGTGATCGTGGCTGTCCACAGTCAGGCTTCTACACCCACTTCACCTCCAGCCAGTGCAGTTTCCTTTCAGCTTGACACTGTCCTGCTGCCTCCACCTCATAGTTGAGGAAAGAAGCCAGAAGGTAAGCGGGAAGAAGCGTCCACAGTCCACGCACCACGAGAGCGCATCACAGGCTCCCTTTAATGTAATGCGGTAAGTAGTTTCGTACATAAGACACACAATCTATGCTTCAGAAAGGCAAAGATTACTTAGTAAGATGGGATGTAAAAAAAATGAAATGATAAAAATAGATCCTGCTTATTGAAATGGGAACCGGGTCTTTGTAGTATTTGTTTGCTAAGTATTTTTTTAAAAATAAACAGATTATCAGTTTCCAGATTTTCCCTTTCCCACAATACCAGGCACATGATAATCACTCCAAAAATGATACACATTAAATGAATAATGAATGGCATGCTACATGCTTTCACAGGTGTTCACTGTGGGTGAAACAATATTTTTTAAGCTGTAAATCATAAAGAGAAATATATATTAACACATGCTAAATGCTCATCAAATTTGCTTGACTGCTATGTGAGAGCATTTTATAGTCTGTGGGAAAATGTAATTCCTGACTGATCATTGGCTTTCATCTATTGTCTTCCTTTCTTTCTGTGACAGGGGAGGGTGAACTGAGCAAGATGTTTAATTTTAGACTCATTTTCTATTATCTGGCTAAACAGGCTCCATCTTCTGTGAAAAGTAAAAAGATAACCCCCAGGGTGCCAAATCTTTTCCCCAAGTTCACCGTTTGGAAAAACACAGACTGAACATAGAGGACACTGGTCTGATGACTCTCGGTCACAAGGACAGTGGGCTTCCTGCTTCTCCAGCCCCTTGTGCACCACAGCCAGCTGTCATTTGCATGGAAATATTCTCTAATTAATGAAATTTGTCTTTGGAAGTAAATTATTTGAAGTCGTATTCAAGTTCTTTCTCCATACCAGCATGTTCTTCCCTGTAACAAACCTATACCTCAGCCCTGCAGGTGACTGAGCCTGGCCCCGTACACTGTGCAGAGGGCCCCACTGCATGCTCATGGGGTGGCCTTCGCTGGGATCTGCTGCAGTTGACGTAAAGATAAAACCCCTAAGCCCAGCCTAGTAGGGCTCACCAGTCTTTATTTATTTATTAGTTCAAATTATTTTGGAAGGCTTTTAACACAGTGTTACAAGATCCTGACGGCAATACAAAACAGAACAAACGCTCAGCACAGTCTTTCTTTCTTGGGTTCACTGAGGCCGTGGGATCACTTATATCTGTGTTGTGTGTTTTGTTTTTCTTCCACATTTTCAGGTACCTGCTCTTGAAGCCCTAGAACAAATTAATTGAAAGAAAACCACTGTGAAACCGCTTGAAACTGATCCCACTGAGTTTTAAAGCCTCGCATGACCTATCCTGCGTCTTTCCCTAGATCTCGATGCCAAGTCGATGTGATTATAAAATGCATTCCTGGTGATTTGTTAATGTGTATGAGCCACTGGAAACCGGGCCTTCACCGAATGCCTCACACACCAGGCGTTTCAGACCCGAACTGAACACCTTTTGAAGCATTTTGACAACAAATGAGAGTCTCTTTCATAGATCTGAAACCAATAATCAGTTTTCTTGACCTATGTTTTAAAACAAAAGCATCTTTTAACTAAGTAAGCATAGAAATCCCTCTGGAGATGATTTATTTGTGAACTGCCTTCCTTAAGGACACCGCCACGGGCATCCGTCACTCCAGCTCGATGTCCCCGGCGTACAAGGTGATGAGCAGGATGGCAGTGAAGCCCGTCAGCATCCCCGCGTTCTGGATCAGGAAGAAAGTGAAGTCCTTCTTCCTCCCTGTCACCTTCTCCCTGAGCATGTCGTTCATCTCCGGGAACTGCAACGAGACCAATTGTTAGACAGCTCTCGCCATCTGGTGGCGAAATGCAAAGCTCGCACTGCTGGCCGCTGCTGGGGAGCAGGCTGTGGCCCCCAGGGAGATGCCTAGCACTTTAGAGAACTGAAGGGGTGCACGCGGGCCCCCTCCAGCAGGGTGGGGCGAGCCTCAGTCTGCTGTGTGTGTGTGCATGTGTGTGTTCCATCCACACCGTCCGTCCAGGATCCCACACGCACCGGCTCACCCCTTCCTCAGGGTCCACGCACTCACCACACCCAACCTGAGCTCTTCGGCCGCCAGTCTTTCCGTGGATCAAACCCTCCAGACTTTTCCTTAACCTGCATCTCCCTGAGGCTCTTCCTCAGCCCAGCCCACTTCAGGCGAGGTTTTCTCATTATCCCATCTCTTCGCATGCACTGCTTTTCCTCTTCATAGCACTTTAAAACTGTTTTCCTCATAGCAATTAGTTACTAATAGTAGTGATAATAACAGTAATTCTTTAGTCTGCATAAAGATTGTGCCTTCTCTTCACTCCTGCCAGAATGCAGGGACTGGAACAACACCAGTCACCTGCCAGGAATAATCCCACATTTCCTTTTCTTCAACTTGTTTCCTCCTACTGGCTCTAACATCAAAAAATCAAAGAGCTTTAAAATAAATTTGTGCCTTATTCCAGGATCAAAGACTGTGACATCATTACAGCAAAGAGAGTTAACACCCTAGGTGTTTTGTTTAGAATCCTCCCGCTCTCACAGATGGGTACGGACCAGGCCACCTAGCAAATACAAACACACAGAGTCTGCAAGGTGCTGCAAGGACTTGGCTACGTATGCCAGCGTGCATTGCATCAGTGCCCCTCAAGGTCTCCAGGGTCCAGCTGACCCGTGAGCCTGGCTTAAGAAAACTCCTGGCAGGGTAAATGGGTGGGCTGTGAAACCAGCCAGAGAAAAGGCAACAGTTTTGTAAGCATAAGCAGCAGCGTTTGTTAGCAACACTCCCGTCACTGAGCGAGCAGTGGATTCTGCTCTTCTCTCTGAAAAAGGGGAAGTGGCCACTTAAGACTGAAGAGCGGGTGAGGGCCGGATTCTGTGAGGACCAAGGTAAAAGCAGGGGTGCGTCCAGGTAGGAAGTCCTAGCCGTCACAGCGACCTGCGCGGCACACTGCAGAGCTAGCCAGTTAAACCTGGAACTAAGGGTAGAGACGAAAAACATCAAATTATTAAATTATATGTCCAACAACTTCAGTTCCAAGTACAAAAAAAGTTTTGTTTTCATACAGTAGCAGTTGTTATTTTCTGTAAAGCTGTCCCTGACTTACAAGTGTATAAACTATTTCTTTCTGAAACACACTCCTGGGAACACACACACACACACACACACACACACACAGACACACACAGAAATACAGACAGACATTACCGAGACAGAAACACAGAAGCACAATGAATAAGCACCATCACATGTTTACCTTCCCGACTTTGGTGGGCAAAGGCTCTCACCGTTTAGAGTTCTGAAATAACACCATGCTGATTCCTCCAACAAGTCCAAGTGTGAAGGTCCCACCAAAGAGAAGAAATAAGTTCTACAAGGACAGACTATGCTAGAAGACAAGTATCACCTTCCGCAAGCATAGGGCACCTGGGAAAACACCCTGCTTCGGGAAAGCAAGCTATTTCACTTTCTTTTCATGAGATGGCATTTTTAAAATCAGGAGACCCACTGTGGACTCACACTGCGTGCCCAGGTTCAGTGGGGTGGGATGAAGCAGGAAGGTCCTAGACCCCACAGCAAGGCCCCCACTTGAAGAAGCAGAAAGTTTCCTTCCATCCACTCAAAACCCTGTCCAAGTGTGACTCCTAACTGCTGTCAATTAAACAAAGCAAACACCTAAATGTCTTACCATATCCGCCAGAGAAATGTAGAGGAACATGCCCCCAGCCAGCGCAAAGATGATATTCGGGGCAAAATTATTGCCCACCAAGATGCCAAAAGCCAGTCCCACGTAGCAGGAGCAGGCGGAGAGGAAGTTGAACAGCAAGGCCTGCCGTGTGCTCATCCCCGCATTCAGCAGGATCACAAAGTCCCCTGAAAGAAGGAAACGCCACAGGCTGGTTTTCCAGGTGGGCGTGAGATCGAGGAGGCTCAGCCCTGTCCAGCAAGGCCCCTTCCTCTTGGGCTCCACAGGACAGGAAGACGGTGTCACCTGACAGGTCGCTTCCCCACGAGCCACCTCTTACCAAGCTCATGAGGAAACTCCTCACACAGGATGGCGATGGACGTGCTGAGGCCCTGCAGCAGGGACAGCGTGCAGGATGCCCCGATGGCCAGGCCATCAATGAAGTTGTGGAGGGCGTCGCAGAGTGTGATCATCCAGGCAATCGTCCCGATTTCAGATAGCTTGGGGCCCTTCAGACAGCCAGAAGAACTGGACTCCTTTTTGCCCTCCTGTAAAACAGCAGAAGACTGATCAGCACAATAACCAACCATTTTGGGTGAGGGTTAGAGGTTGGTGTAGAGGGAAGGAGGAGATGGGTTATGCCTGAGAGAGATGAACTTTCCAGCAAAAGTCTTTTGTAGCTACAGGAAGCCCTGACAATAGATGACAGAGAACAAAACTTACGACAGGATGAAAGGCACACTTACAGAAGCCACTTACACATGCTTTACACCAGCTTCCCCCAAAATCAAACCTCTTTCCTGATATGAATGAATGACCTGCCTGCAATGTAACATATTAACCTAAGAATTTGATGTATGCACGTATTTTACAGAAAGTTACCCAAAGAATGCATTTAAAGTCTTCTCCATGTTGCAATTTAAATGTGAAAACCACCGTTAAAGCAGGCTGACCACGAGGGGCCTTTATTCCAAGCCCCCCCCCGCCCTGTGTACACAGTCAGTGTCTCCCACTGTGAAAGGAAGCAAAGGCATCAGGTAGCTGGACGGGCGCCCTCCCCAGAGGCTGCAGTGTCTCCACCCCATCCCGGGCGCTGTGTTGGGGCCCAGGCTGTGGTAGTGATGGGGTCCCCTCCAGCTCTAAGTCTCAGTCATTCTCAAGTGACTCTACAAAGCATTTATCATTAGTTGCAGGGAAGGATTACAACATGAAAACCCATTTTTAAGTAGGCAGGCAGTTTGCAGTCATCTGGAGAGCATTTCACTCCTAAGCGAGCGTCTGCAGTTCGTACATGCTGTGCTGAATGCTGCGGAGAGACGTGGTGGGAACACACAGTCTCTCCTTAAGAACGGTGTGTACTCTGCAGAACCAAGCTGGCGGGGCTTTTTTAAGAAAGTGTAACATATGACCACATGAAATGCACTTCCTCCAGGTCAACAATCAGAGGTGTTTTACACTTACTTACTGTAACCTTGTCAAAACACTGGGGGACCAACACCTTAAGGATTTATTTTAGAGTCTGTAACACATCTTTTCATTGTTTCACTGGTGCTAAGTCTAAGTTTTCAGGGAATTTCATTTTACAATGTTTCTGTTTTTAGTAGTCTCTGTTTTCTGTTTGCAGATGCAGCCAGAGCCACTTGGGGCAAATATGTGGAAGAACGGCCACTGGTAAATCACCATCATTGTCACCATGCAGAATCAGTAACTGCAGGACTTGTAGCACTGACAGTGAGCTGAGCTCTGCTCTGAGTGCTTTGGGTGAGGTCAGAACACCTGGGATTGTTCTAGTCACTGCAGACCTGAAGAGATTGAAGCACAGAGGGGCAGTGAGTTTACCTGTGATACTAAGGACATACGTGGATTTTGGGGTAACAGTGTTTTATACTCCAGATTTATGAGGATGGGTTCCTTGCTTATGATGGGATCTGCACCAGAGAAAACTCTCCTCTCAAAAACTCTCCCAAACCCTTGAAGCAGTGTTAGCATAAATCTCTGGCCGCCTTTATTTTCCAAAGTACATCTCACCTACATAAAAAGACTTCCATCCTGTCTTTACGTGCAGGGCTTTCTCGCACTGGCTGTATCATGAACGTCAGCTAGTAAACAGTGCTGATGGTGCAGGACCAGGAAGTAGCCTAGGTGACAGGTGGCCCCGTGCAGAAGCTGATGGCCATGAGAACAAGATGCCGGGGCCAAACCCATGGCTCGAGGGACCTGTGCTTTGTACAGACCCAGTGCCCCCAAGGTACTCAAAGAGTGTTTTCACCTTCCAACTTGTCTTACGAAATTGCAAGTAGTATTTACAAATTCTTCATTTACTGATTGAGAAAAGTTTGCAAAGCCAACTCTTTACCACCTAATGTCATATGGTCTACAGATGCCTTGAACGCTGCAAAAGAAATTAACATATTGTGCATATAACCACCTATTAGCTGTGCCTCATCTGAACTCCATGAGCTTAGGTTCCAAACCTGCCGCTGAGGACGTTGGGAAGGTGGATATGAGAGGAATCAAGATGTGTCGTGTATTCCCCAAAATGACTGTAATCATTATGTACTGCAAATCTGTACTCAAAAATGCTTTTAAAATGAAACACACCAAACTAGGCAAACATTTGCAAGAAGCTGAAGTTCACCTAAACTAAGTAACTGAGAAAAAGAAGTGCTAAGTTCGAGTTCCTTTATTAACTCAGTGAGTACTGTATCTCTCTCCTGTTTTTCCTTGTGTTGCTGTCCGTTGTTTGTTTCCTCCTTCGATTTTTCTCTAAACCTGAGGCTATTCCCTCTTTAGCCACGAGGGGGCAGATGAGCCCAGTGTGAAGGTGAGTGTGAAGTCCCAGGCTGGCCCCAAGGATAAGGAAGCTCTAGAAGCGCTGGATAGACACAGGATCTTGTTAAAAGGGAAACAGGAAAAATTCTGTCAATGCTGTGTGACCTTGGAGGTGATGATGTTCTTGAAAAATCACACCAAAGTTCAAGGTGAGCTGGGAGATTAATTAGCCAAAAAGCAAAACCCACTGTAAAGGCCGTTGTTGCTGAGTTTATAAATTCAGATGAACTGTGTCTGGGAGGACCAAACCTGATGGGTGTGAAATAGTCTTACACACATGGTGCCTCACGTTTACAAAGCAATCCTTCCAAGTGCATTTTCAGAGATGCAGAAAATGAACACTAAGAACAGAAAGAACTTGCACGAAGTCATCCCGGGGCTTTCAGGTCTGGACTACTTCATTATCTGCTGAGCATCCCTCTTTCAGGAGGCAGAAACTGTGCCTCCAAGGTCAGGAATATAAAGGAAGCTCTGGCCAGCAGATGGTCTAGAGTGGAACACAGGTCAAAGAGCCAGGGCAGTGACAAACAGCCCCCATGCCAACCCCTTCTGAGATGGCATTCCGCTCTCTCTCCATCCTCTGTCCGGGACTGTCTGCCAGGTCACTTTGGCCTATACATTTTCCTCCTTGAGACTGAGCACGGGGAGCCCCAGCTGCAGAGCCCAGGGCAGGGGATTATAGAAAGCAGAGCGTCCAGTCCTCAGTGCTCATCTGTAGGTGCCTCTCAGCCATGCATGACCTCCAGTGAAGGTGGAAGATCCTGTCTTTCCAAGTTCTAGCACCTGCTTCCTCTCCTGGGCCCATCCTCTGCATCACAGGGCCCTGGTGTGGATGCTCATCCTATGGTCTTCTTCCTCCCCACATCTTAGAGCTCATGGAAACCCACTGCAAGTGTCCTGACCTCAGAATGCCACCTTCTTCCTACTGGGACCCCAGCTGGTGCAGCCACTGGTGCTGGAAATGGGCACAGGTGCCTGCAATAAGATATTTCAGATGGGGTTTTCCTAAATCCAAAGCATTGAGGATGGGAACCTGGTTATATGTAAGGTACACAGCATTTCCAAGTGTACCTGCACAATGAGAGGCCTCTGCCAAGTCTGAGATGTGCTGCAATCCATCCTCCTCCAGGTTCCCACAGCCTGCAGGACCAGTGCAGCAGGGGGAGCATGGCTGTCAGATGGGCTGAGGAGCCTCTGGACAGCCGTGACCCAATGAGCACCCTGAGGACCCCAGGATGCCATGGTGACATAGTGTCCTCTTCTGCATCAACTGCTGTTCTCTCAGGAAACAGCTCGTGGTTTGGTCACAATTGGTACAAGCATGGGTCCTGCCTGAGGAGCACTGAATGAGGTAGCATCATGCTCAAAGTTGATGGATGCCATCTATCCACAAACCATGAAGCTAATGTTCACACCATGTTCCACCGTAGGCACTGTGACCGCGACATTAGGTGATCACATTATCTAATCCTGACACTTACTCTTTTATTCCGTCTAACAGCAAACTTACATAGTGACTCCTCAAAACCATTTAATTGTGCACAGACACTTAAGTGTGCCTGAAACAGCTGGCTTAGGGAGTTTATCTACAGGGGTCTAAACTGCAGGGATAATGGGAAATCCTCGCAGTTAGCAAAACTCCGAGTAAAATATCTGATTTCCCACTTCACGCAGAAGAAATGCTTGGAGTTCAGAGTGACATAATTCAGGGCATGCCAGACATTCAAATGATAAAGTTAGCAAATTGAAAGCAAAGATATGAGGTGTCTGGTGGATGCTTAAATTTAAGAAGAATTATTACAATGAAAGATACATTGCAATTAATTGCCCCTCAAAATACCCCCCTTCCTTTGAGCACACTCATCCTTCGTGCCACTCTCTGCAGCAGCTCTGGAGTCCTCTTTCCTAACTAAGTGTCTTCAGTTGTAGTGTCCTGGCTGCCTCAGTATCCTGACTCTATTGAAAACACTGTACCTTCGTGATCATTTAACTTTGGGAAAGAGCCAGAAGTTGCACAGTGTCAGATCTGGGGAACAATATGAATGAGGACACCGTGTCATGCTTTTACAAGTTGCCTTCCCAAGGGATGGCACAGGACAGCAGCTTTCATCATATTTGTGATCATGTCTCATAAAGACACTCATTCATAAAGGGGCTGGTGGGGTGTAGGATGCTAACAGCACCACTGTCGCCAGCTCAGCTACTGGTCCCCTGCGTGGCTTGCAAACTGCCCAGGGTTTGCCCACAGTCCCTCCTCTGTCTGCTCTGTATCCTCATTGGCATGAACCGGCTCTTTCTGATTCGAATGCTCATCCCCCAGTGCAGTTTGCAGACTCCATCTGTCCTGTTACATATATTTTAATGGAAAAATAACGAACAGAGCTAAGTAGACTTGAATGTATTCTAAAAGGTTGAAGCCACTCTAAAATGTAGAATTTTGATGAGCTTTACTTTTGTGATTCAATTTTCTAATGATTTCAGTGTTATGTTATATGACCGAAGTTCCCTGGCCTTTCCCACATCGTTGAAACATCAGGGCTTGCTATAACCAACATTAAGCTTCTTGTAGAAAGGAGAAATTAACTTTACCTTTAATGCATATAACCAAATGCAAGTCAAATGCATTGAACCTGCAACCATTAGGTTCAGGAAAACCTCAAAACTACCTCCAAACCCTCTTTGCTAATGAAAATAGTCATTAACAAGGAAATAATTT